ACCCAATTATTCCGGTCCTAGCTTTGGATCATTGCGACGCCATTCAGTTTACAGTACTGCACCGCATTCTGTATATCTCCCCTCCGCAGACTCCTACCTCGGCACGTATGAAGAATTAGGGGGAAAAATATCTAGATTGGAGAATATTTCCAATCCGTGAAATCTTAGGTCAATTTTCACCCTAATCGGTGAGAGGCGCCGTAGTCTCAAGAACGACGGGAAATCCATGACGATGAGACGAGGTCGCCGTAATGGGATCTGCGCCATGGGACTCTACCTCACGGAGTCACAACATCTCGCGTACGCGAGTGGACTGTGGATCTGGAGATGAGGATCGGACGGTTCTCTGTTTACAAATTGCTTTCAGCGATGGTTAATGATTTATTTCCTTGATACGGACCACAGTCTTTCGGCGGTCAGAGCGCACAGGTCTGTTGTCGTCAGATCAAATCGACGCACTGGAGACCAGGTCGAAGATGAAGGGCTGTGTGTCTCAGTCATGTGATGACCTTTCAAACATCAGGAGCAGTTGTATGTTCGATCACATGGACTGCATGGATTACCGTGATCCATGCTTGTAACTTTGCATCCTCGGGAGCAGACCTTGCCAGGGCAAGACATTCTTGCATCGTCATCCTGAGAGTAAATTTTTGTTGTGATTCATAAATCTTGTCATACAAGACAGTTGATTTCACCATTGTGAAGCATTTCGTGGAAACGCATGGAATGGGACATGGAAATCCTGACTGATTCAATGATGAAAGTCCTTTTTACGGATTTTTCTCCTAAATTAAGTGATTTCTTAACAGCTTTTCATCTGACTGAGTGCATTAAAAGTTATTGACGTAAAGAGCTACATTCAGAGTATCGCAGCCAAGCGTTAATTTGTCTTAATATTGAACGTTCTGGGAAGATCAGAGGTCGAAAAGACCAAAGACGTTGGTAGAGCATACTCAGTGATCCGATGTCTTCGTGTATAGAATCAAACGTACACGGGCGATACTAAGTAGCTTCGATTCGTATGATGATTCGTATTCAGTGTACATGTGAGCAAAGCACTCCAGCTTAATATAGATGGGCATATCACGAAAGATTTTGGCATTTTGTGGAAGGAAATAACTACCAATAAAGATCCACGCCCTTGCAGTCGAGATCATCAGTGACCAGCAGCGTGGTCCTCGGCGATAGAAGAGTGCGAGATCCTGAGAGTACGTATGGGAACTGGCGAGCGTACCTTGGCCACAAAAGGAGATTGGGTATCGGCCTGTGTGGCATCCAAATGTGGAGCTTTGGAGATTCGGGCAGATCCAAAGACGAGCTCTTGTAGAAAGTATGGCGCCGCGTACATCTGCAGGAGACAGGGAACCCCTGGGAAGATCATTGTCGTCTACCTTCATATGCGCCAAAAGGTGTGGCTAAGGGAGGTGTTTTCTTCTTAATCATACATTCCCGGTCTGTTTGTGTAATGACAGTTTGTATTGCTGTAATTGCACTTTCGGAGACAGAGGCCTACTTGTTTGATTTCGGTTTTATTTTCTATTTAGAAAAAGTGTCCCAAAGGATGACCTTACGGTAAATCCTAATTCCTGGCTCCTCTATGCCATTTGAGAAACTCCTATTGGCAGCACTTACCGAGCTCTAGTGGATCCTATGTGATGCTAGATCCTTTCGGTTAAATAACACGAAGGAATATAGAGCAAACCGGACGGAGATCCCACCGAAGACTAACATGCATGAAACCAAAGTTGTAAAGGGCCAGATCCATTAGCATCACATGTCACACTGCACCTAACACGTTTGCATACTACACAACATATATAAATTTATCAAGTGACTTGATTACATACAACAGAGTGTATCAGTTAATCTTTTATGCAATGAAATAAAGAAAGGCAACTAAAATGTATATATTCCATGTATATAACTACCCTACATCCACTACTACAATGGATGCTTTATCATTTGACTTTAGTCAAAAGCTAGAGGAATAATCGATGATCATTGTAAAAACCAAGTGTGGTGGTTATTGGGGCTTCACTCTTTGCATATCCATGAAAATGTATAAATAATGAACAATTTGAAAAGTATAGGACAAAATCACATTTTTGGCAACCAGAACTTGGTTGTTACTTCCAATCTAGTCCAAGTTCAGGATCTTAATCTATGTCCGTTCCAAATTGTACAAACATTTTCTTGATTTATGTGACATAAATCTTAGAAGTTTACTCAAGTCTTGATTGTTATTAGTTATTTTTACCAAGGTTAGTTAGTTCAATTAACCTGTCACTATACAAGACAGCTGATGATAGTTCTTAGTAAAGTAATATATTGTGTTATTGTGGATGTAGCATAAGTAGATGAACATATAATTGCTTGGTCTTTTCTAAAATGTGTGTAGGGTTGCGTCGTGGATGTTTACATCCTATCATTGAGCACAAATAAGTTTGGTTTTGATATTGTTGAGAATCAACAAATTGGTATCAAAACATCGCAACATTTTCTATTTGGATCTCCATCAACACATCTCGAATTCTAGCCTCATCGTGCGAAGCACCATCGTCAACGGTAGACGCAAGCCATCCACGAAGTTTTGTCTAGATGTATTGCAATTCTGTAGTAGATCATTTCTCAGATCAAGTTCTGGACGACTGAGCAGGAAAGTACTCATGAATCTATTTGAATTAAGGAATTTCGACTCCTTCATTCTTCATGTAAACTTCAACAATACTTCAACCTTCCTGCGAGGATCTTGAATTATAAACTGATTTCCAGATGCGTCCCTTTCTAGTATTGACTATACTGCTTGACCTTGACTTCCCATCGTAGGAGACCATCTCATACTTCAAGCCAGAGAAGTTGTTTTGTCCTTGTTTCTTGTGGTACTGTATGTAGGTTCAGTAATAATTTGCTGAGGTTTGACATCAGACATCAAGAGAACTGCCAAGTCACGTTCTGCATTTTTCCATTGACAGAGGCAACCAGCCGCACATTGACTTTTGCAAAGCAGTCATAAATCAGCAAAGGTCATTTTTATAAATCTCGAAACACATCACACGTCTGTAGCCAGATGTAAACGGCAGATAGATTCAGTTTGTACAAGCAAAGTTTATATTTTTCAAATGTGGACCTACTTGTTTTCCTCTCACGTCATCCTCTCCCTTGCATGTTCATGTAAGCCCATGTATTGTGTACTGACCATCCAGTAACGGATTAAACAGATAGCTTGGTAATGTTCAGCGTTGAAGATTCTCCAGAGATATGTATTACTCTTTTACTCGTCGCCCGTCTTGAAGACTCCGGGGTTCATTACTTTTTGAGATTAAACTCCAAATTAGAAATCAATAACCCGTTCACGAACTTCGTCGATTTATGTCCCACATCTCATTTCCAACCAACCCAAGTCAATAAAGTACATGGTTTGGCTGAAATTGCAGTAACGAATCAAGTTCATCTCCTCCATTCACTTCAGTATAATGATGCATTAAGTGATGATACATATATTATTTGGTAATATATGTCATATTTTTATCAAAACTATATATAAAAATACTTAACATCAATAATTAGAATAAAAAAATCATAATAATCTCAAATGAAATCCATGTTGATATGAATCTATCGTAAATATATTGGATTAATATTAAATATTTGATAAGACTATATCAAAAGTGTAGAGAATATTCTATCGTGTACATGTAAAAAAGATTAAAGTAAAATCTAATCAACGTTGACATGAATCTATTGTAAGGCATATTATTAAAAAAACCTATTTTTATATTTAAATATCTTAAAATGTATGGAATTAATAATAAATAAATAATAATTATTATCTATATGAATTTTTTGTTTTTTCAGAATATAAATAAAATTTAAATATAATCACTGTAAAAATAGTATAATTGTGAGATACGTAAAATTTAGAATAATAAACAGATGTTGAACAGCGCAAAGAAAAATAATCCGTGCGACATTATTCATTTTTAACATATTTGCAATTAGAAGTGTTTTATTGTAATTCCGTGTATCAAATATAGATAGGAAAAAGATTCGATTCAGTGACGGATCAAATAAAGACAAATGCTATGCATTGTATGGATGGAGTGTGAATAAAGAAAGAAAGGTCGCATGGAAACGATATAGAAAGACTCATGAAGCCAAAGAAATACGAAATATAAAGGGAGACTATGGGGGCTAGACTGAGAGTATGAGATATGAACGGAAATACTTTTAGACTTGTTGTCTTTGGTGAGAGTGAAAATTTGAAAGTAATACTTAGACACTTCTTACATTAGCTTAATAGATTCCTAATAGTCATGTGTGAGCATCACTCGTGAAATCTCCATGACTGATTAAGAAAAAGCACACTTTTTGCTGGAAATCATGTGATGTAAGTCGGTTTTTGAATGACGGCTGATACTTTTAATGTGGCTCTCTTGTTGTTAGCAAGTTGAGTAATTCTCCAACATATATGTATTTCTATGTTAAGAAGCTTTCATAAACTCTTACAGTTCAGAGTGTAGCTAAACAATCAGACACCTTGTTCTTACTGGTTCTATGCTAAAACACCTATAGCCTATCGTCAGCTATAATATCGCTGCACTCCGCATCTTTTTCACTAAAGCCTGGGAGGCACTAGATTACGTATGGCAATCGGAATTTAATGCGCCTGTGAATCGAGCATCGAGTACTTAATTCTCCGTAAACAGAAAGTAATATAATCTACCGACGATGACGTGCAATGACTCCAAAGTCCGGTCTCAGAAAGAGGAATCATCCTAATTTCTGACAGCAAGACCAATCCACCACGGACATGAAATCGACGGAGTCGTGAGGGCCCACGGCTCTAAAACTTTCAGTTGGGCTCCGTCCGTCAATGAGCCTGGCGTCGAGGAGTTTTCCGACCCGTTGAGAGGACAGCGTCCCGTCCGCACCGGTTTGATCCTTACCCGCACTTTAAACCGAGCGCAGCGCTGCTGCCGCGGCTGCGCAGGGCGCCATGTGCGAGAGCCGATAGTGCGCGCAGGTGTCGACGTCGGATTGGTCGAGAGTGATGTGGGCGAGTGAGCTGTACTTGTTTCGAATTTGGAGAACGCTGAAGACGCTCCCCTGTCCCGCAGGCGCGTCTGCTCGCTGGTGGAGGCAGATATGGAGGTGGAGGTGGAGGTGCTGGTTTCCACGTCCCGGAAGCGTCGCTTTGTTGTTGGAGATGATTGGGCGATGCGACGACCCCCGGCGGTCTCAGCTTCTTGCCGCGCTTTGCCCCACTGCTCGAGTTCGGTGAGCCGGAATCATTCAAGCACGTCGTGGTCGCAGCAACTGTGAAGAAGGAGATGATACAGTGACCACAGCAGACTGTGCGATTCCTGTGATTGATGATGAATTCCGGGTGGTGGCTCCTTTATCTACAAGATCTTAGAAATCTTGATAGACACAAAAGCTTTGATCTGAGTCACGCTTTCGATCAGGTAACTGTATGTTTTGAAGGTCGTAAAGTTGTTGGGAAGAAGGAATTCTCAGTCGATGTGGATGTTTTGATTGCTGCTAAACTGTAGGCGTTTGAAAGTACTCACTAGTGCCATGGCTTCCACAGGAGTGATGAAACTATATCGTGTGCCGTGGGACATTGTCTACCGGGATGTGTGCCAGTCGTGCTGTCCTTTAGATCACATTTGCTTTCGCAAGTGATCTTGGAGATTATGTGGCTCCGAGCAACAATGGAAAGGCGTATTTGGAAGTGTCTTTTTTCCTATCTTGATGGTCATCAGCATCTTTTCGGCGTGAGATGTGTCAAGATGACAGTTGTGGTTACCCAAGCACCTTGAACAACTTTCTGTAAGTCGTCCCAGTATAAGAATGGCCGCGAAGTTTACTTTATGCTTGTACAGATACATCACCACGTTTAGTTCTAAGTTGGCCTCAAAGTTTAAAGTTGAGCTTCCTGAATCAAGTTCAGTAAAGTAGAATCTTAGTGGATACTTGGAGTGAGGATAAAGCCAGCTCAAGTTTTTGTGGACGTAACGTCTAGCGAAATTAACCGCAGATCAGGATGAAAATTTGAGGTTATTCTTCGTCAACGACGGTAGATAAGAGGCGACCTCTGTCGTGTCGAACTTAGTTGTTGTGTCTCTCAACATGATCTCAAGCTCGATTCGCACTCGACCAAGAGGCCTGTGGAAGTCTCTCAACCTCGCGTGGTCTTGTTCGTTTAGAAACGATGGGGCATCGTACGAAGCAAGGACAAGGATACTAGGCATTCTACGGAATCATGTGCTGCTCACCATCCGTACTCGTGGACCTCATAAAAAAGTCCACAGTGCCATTAAGATCAAAAGTAAGCGCAATCAGGCCGGTCTACCTCACACCAAATCTCTTGAGAGATCTTAACTGCGAAGAACTAATCAGCAACACAAATCAAATTAGGTCTCACGACTCAGAGAGAGAGAGAGAGTCAAAGTGAACGAGAGAATTTACGCCAGCTGTGGGGCTTTTGTTGCACGATGAATTTCTATATGTGTAGGCAGTGTGGTGGCAGCAGTGTCTCAGGGTACTCATATAAGGAAATGTATGTGGATAAGGTTTGTAAACAGAAGGCAACGCACGCCAACTGAAAGCTTCGCATAACAAGCTATTCCTTGTTCCTCATTCTAATCCACCTCAAAAGCCAAAACAAAATGCTTTGGCATTTTGTTGGCATCATACGCGAGTAAGGTATTTGTGAAGATACTTTGACTAAATCTGGAGCAGCAGATACTTAGGAGTTCTAAGTACTTGAGGTTTCGTGCGGAAAATGAGCGGGATCTTAATCTGAATTATCAATAATATCTTATCATTGATGATTCACACTCAATATGGATGTAGGCCTCCTCCGATGTAGAAAAACCTGTATGTGTTCTAATGAGTCCAGGAAAGCTGAATAAAACTTATACTCTATGAAAGTGACTGTCATCACCTGGATACTGGGGGTTCAGATTAAGGGGCCAAGCTGAAGCATGCAATTAATCCTGCTCCTTCTGAGTAGCTCTGTATCTTGAAGAGTACGGACTAGCTGACAAAGAAAGTCTTTTTTTTTTAGAAAGAGAAATGGAAACGCTTTTCTCCGAGTCTGCCCACTTCCGATAACAGCTTTTGAGAAGTTGGGGTCAATCATTTCGATATTGACAGTTAGCTAACTCAGTTCTGAATTTTATTTTGGGTATGTACGAAGATCTAATGAGGAAAAGATCCCCTCAGCTTTAGTACTCACGATCTCTTGTTTCCAAAGCACACAGGTTTGCAACTTGCGAAGGTACCTTTCCTATCACCTACACCTCTGCTCGTAGCTTACCTTCTCCATAAACCTTGCTTGAAAAGGAACTCGAGCATGGTAAAGGTTTCATGCATTGCTAGAAGTTGTATTTTTGTAAAATTGAGAAGGCTTTCACATTATCGTTAATGCTCGCACGCTATCTCGCATTGAGCTGTTTTGATTGCTCTGTATCATATCCATGGAACCGGCTGTTTCACAAAACGCCCCCCACCAGGCACGCAGAAATTCAGGGTGGATGTCCAGTGTGAAGTTGTTTCATGAAACGTCGTGGAGCTGGCTAGATCTTGCCGTTACACTGATGTTTTCCGCCTACAGCATACATGTGGGATTGTACTGTTACGTAAAAGTAACAACACACTGTAAATATCAAGCGCAATTTGCCGGTATCAAGTTCCGAACTACTACTTATCATGCGCGCAAATCACAGAGAAAGCTGTAGGCTCGGGGATACGACTAGACCTTTTGGAAGGGAAGTATCTCAAAGTCAACGATTCTTACTTTCCGTCCTGTCTTTCCAGATAACTATCTGTCAAGAAACGTAGCCCAACTCAGTTACAGATGAACAGCAAGCCTTTCTGCGATAGGCTCCCTCGCGGATATTCATTCATTGTAGGCTGCTTTAACATTCACACCGCTGCTCATTGTAGGCTCTGACTCTCGCTTGTGGAGGTCGGTATTCTGTGGCTTTTCCCTTTTCTTGAGCTGTAAGGTCAAAATGCTCAACATATTCAGAACCAATCGCCTTTACCTTCAGATGCGTGCTTCTACGACGTGTTGGCACGGCTCTGATGTAGGCTGACAATCACACACTCAGTACTCATCTGTAGCAGTTAAGTTTATCCCCATAGCAGCCACTCAAAACTTGAAATGTACCTCCTCTGAATCACTCTACTTCTAGAATCGACGTGTTGTGTGGCCACAGAGTCCACAGACTGTTAGCTACCATGATGGCAATGAGCGGTCTTTCTTTCCTCATCGACAGTATAAGGACTCCGTATTGTCCTGTAGTTGACTACGGATGGAGAATGACATCAAGAGAGCAGGGGGCCGGTCGTGGAGACTGTCTTGAGACAGCGACTCGAGAATTTTTGAAATTCTACACTTTTGATCGATACGAAAACCCGATCGTGGAAAGAAGACCAATCGACGTTCCCTAACTCCTTCTTCCGTCAAAGCGCGGAGAAAAAGACTCACTGTGCAGAGAGAGACAGAGGACTCAATCTGACCGAGAAATCAGAGCGCAGGAGTAGTAGTCTCGGAAAGAGTTAGGGACACCGAATTCAGCGCATGTTGCCTCCTCCAGTCTGAATCTGCGGGAAATGATCATGCGTGCGGGTCCGTATCCAGATTCCAGAGAGTTCGGCCACATACTGCGGCCGTAAGAAAGCATGGGCGAACGAAGCAGAATCGGCAGTATCTGCACATCGCATGCAGCTGTGCCTAGACAAGCACATACTCAATGGCAACGGAGCGAGCGTGTGATTACACTGATTTGTCTTAACTGTGAACTGCTTGTATAGCAACAGTCAAAGGGATTATGGGTAGACCACATTTTTTCAGCGATGACTCCGGTCCAGATGAGCCTTCACCAGGCGGGTTCCCCACTTTGCGCGTGCGGGGAGCGATCCCCCGATCCGCCAGTGAGTTGATCAACAACGGGAGGAAGATGCTCTGAACGGACCAGGAAGATTGGGAAGAAGGTGGTGCCCTCCCCCTGCCCTCCCCCTGATTAAACAAGTAAGGAATCAAGCGTGTTAAGCGACAGTCTTTTGGCATCTAGAAAGAAGATATATTGGCGTCTATCCTCTTCCTCGAGTGTCCGAGATGAGGGATTCCTGGACTGTTTCTGCCGGAGTGGCAAATCACACAGGGCACACATGTCGGGAGTGCAGAGCAATCATTTACGTCCATCCTCTAGTCTACGTGCGCGATGCTCGTAAATTCCGCCTGTTCCTACCCGAGGCATGCTTCTCAGGGGACTCTGATCTGAGAACTCAAACCAGGAGTCGAGTTGATGGAAAACGGAAATGGTGGACGACTTCTTACGGTTCTACCGAGGGCGTTCCTTCTGGGACGGTCTCGGTGACTAGTCGAGACAGATCACCCAACAGGCTTTAAACCATGACGCCCGACAGAGAATGAAGCCAGAGAAGTATTGGTCTTCCAATATGAATGTCCCACAAGGTCGGATTTTCCTCATCGAAAACTCCAAGAGTAGAAACACCTACTCTGAGGATCTATGGGGGCAAATTGTAACGCAACAAGAATGGAACAAAGAAGCCGTGACCTCCAAGAGAAATACTGCAGACGGAGTCGGATTCATGAAAAACGAAATTTTCATGATTCCGAAATTCGTTTTTGTTTCTCCGCCTTGATCAAAGTTGATTGGTTCGAACGGAAAGGACATATTAGCTTAAACTTAAGAAGTTTCCAGGCTCCGTGAGTTGTGTTCCACATGTGACAAGCAAACAGAGGTCATCCTGCTGTATGGGAGTACGACGAGAAGAGCACGGATTCCGTTCTTCGAGAGCAGTAGACAATTATGTAGCTGTGTCAAATTGTAAGTTTCGCGCTGACTGATTAGCAATGCTGCTTGAACTGCTTTCACGTACTCATATCATATGAGTACATCAGAGCAGTTCTAGGAGCATTGCAAAACATGTCCATTCATTTTTTTATATGATTCCAGTGCGTCCTCTTGCAACGAGGTTATAAACCCTTATTGCGCATCCATTGGCTCCAAAAGTACGAAACAAGATGCCAAGTCCCTTCAAATATTCGGATTTCAAGTTGTTGAATGTACAAGAATGCTGAGAAGCTTGCTCGTGAGGCGTGTTTCCGCCCACGACTCAAATCCTCAGTCGAAGAGCAAAACGCTCTATTGCTGCTCATGGTTTTACTTCCATGAATCAAAGCATACGACGGAGAGGGTCCAATCCTGATGCTGATATTCTCTATGCACAATAATGAGGCTAGGCTGCCTCAGTGGAGGTCCGCAGGAAAACTCCGCCTCAAGCAAATCTGAGGCCATCACATCTGAGAACAAATCCGTTTCGGTTCTGTGCCGTCTCATCCTTCCATGAGCATGCGTCGAGATTTTGCTACCATAGGCTGCAACTGATCTACCTTATCGTACATACCCAATAACCCTCCTGTATGTACAAACAAAACCTTCCGCCCTTGCCAGTAGCTAGGATTCTCTTTCATATCCTTCAAAAACCCATTCACAGCCTTTCCGCTGCAGCAAAACATGCAATATAAGGCAAGTCAGAAATTCGGCATATGCCTCCTGCCAATAGAAATAAATTTCTCATGAAAACGGATTTTGTCTGGAGCAGCCAGAGTTTCCAAGTGAAAAGCTGTAATCAGAGAAAGTTGGATTTTAGATTCAGAAGTATGGCCCATACCTGTAAACAGGATCAAGAATAAGCCCAGTCTGCTCCGCCACATCTTTGACAATCTTGAGCTCTTCTGGAGAGCTGATTGCATATCCAGCACCCTTGGACTGCTCCGACCAGAGAAAATTGTGGTAAGTAAACCAGAACTATCCAATGATATTTTGCATGAGAGAGGACGCATTCATCCACTGCTGAGAAGATATTGTCGTGCAGAAACGACAACAGTTGTAGTTTCTTGCCAACTTCCAGGGTCATACATACCATTTTGACTTCGAGGATCTCCTTCGAGATGACACCGGCATTGAAACCGTCTAAGAGGTCTTGGATGTAGTCGTAGAAGTACTTTTCATCATCGCACACGCCATAACCATGCACCTGCAAAATATTTCTGCATGAGCCATCTTCAGAGGAAAGTATCGACTTCATAGCGAAATGTTTTCTGGATGGTGATGGATCATGATGGTGCACACGAGGAGTTTGACACCCTAAACGACCATCCTAAACGTCACATGACCCTAACGCTAGGAGCAGTGACATTGGATCCAGTCTTCTCTGCTTCTCGAGTACTTACTTTGGATTTTAATGTGCTCAAATGAGAACCCAAAGCAAGTCCTGCGGTGGTACCTCCACTGCAGTCCAATCAAAAGTCAAGATTAGGGACGTCTTTATATGCCAGCAATCATCGATTTGCAAAGAAAGCTCACACCAGGTTCCACTTTAAGACCTTATCGCAGGATTGAAGTTGACATTTGAGGTTTAAAAGCCTCAAAAGTACATTACATCTTAAGTACTGCTGGATTAAACTATACATACTTCAACCTGCATTTACAAAATGATCCTATAGCAGTAATCCCTCTCCTGAGGATTCATCTCCCATTCAATCTCTCTGATCAGGTCGTAACCGTAACTCACAGCGAAACGTAAAGGGTTCAGGGTTTAGAGTAATAGGAAGTAATACTCACTTCAGGGTTAACTGTATGGCTTACCAGTGTGATTTAGGGTTTCTATTCTCAAAGATGAGCCTATATACGGACCCCGAGCCTAGTCTTAGGCGGTTAAGAAGCTCGTCATAAGACACATTGCTGGTCTGTTGGTAAAGTATTCAGTTCAAAGGGTAAGCCGTGAGAGTGATTATTCCTTCAGATAGTAATGACACATGTGAGCTGTTGAACATATAAGGTGCGTGGGTGCTAATAGTAATCTAGCTGAATTCAAGAGTCTGATCCCAGTTTTACTGCTCCAAACCTACGTACACCTGAAGATTAGACCGACTGGTAAAGACTATGGCAAGTGCAAGAGAGCCCATAGGTGTAGAAGGAGAAATATCGTGGGTCTACGCTGCAACAAACTGAGTGTCACAATGTTATGGGCCCTTAGTGGCCTGAAGAGCAAGATCGTATGGAGACGCCATTACCTGTCAGCCATGAGAGATGTTTGCCTTGAAGCTTAATGATGAAAGGGGAACAGCACGAAATGGTAGTTGGGGTGAGTGAGACCACTCGAACTCTCAGAGCAGAACGTAAGATAATTGCCGTATGCAGAATCCCACGTTCACACGGAGAGAATAAAAGAAAAGTGCTCCTTAGAGAATTCTGACCTCAGTAAGACAGCTTAGAATCTAAAGGTCTAACCCTTGAGTAGATTCCGAGGGTTAGTCTAAGCGGTGGGAAGAGAGTCCACAACTGTAGAAGAAGAGTCGTCATTTGCAAAAGGTCCATCTAGTTCTATGCTGCAACCGACTGAGAGTAAATAACCCCAATTCTAGAAGTTATAAATAACAAGGTCAAGGGAATGGAAACTAGACTTCAATAAAATAACTGTGACTCTTCATGAGTCAACTTTATGGAGAACAAGAAGGGAATATGTAAATGCAACAGAAACATTGAAGAAACCCGGAAGATCTGATGTACATAAAACAGATACGACAGGGCCGTAAAAACTCTGTATAGAGCAATATTAAGAAATGTATATGCGTCATTATTTGTCACGATGACATAAAGATCAAGACCACATAGATCGGAGATGGAGGGCATAATGTATATATTAGAAAAGTAGATATCATACTCACCATCGTCGGAACAACACAGTAAAATACATGCAGAGCTGTTTAAACACAAAAATCAGGTTCAAAGTACAGTATTATAAAACAAAATTATGTCAATGACAGCCATCAGTCTGCTTGTCAAAATCCTATATGACTTCAAAACATACAAAACATGCGTAGGTGGGCGTGAGTTTGTGCCTGTGGTAGACTCCAGACATATATCCCGTGCCTTTGCTGAGCAGTTCTAGTGTGACGAGACTGTGATGTGATAGAAGAGGAAGACGAGAGACTACTAATTGTAAGTGAAGAGATATGTCTTCTCGTATAAATTCTCATTTAAGTAATTAGTCCGGCGTTCTACACATCAACAGAAACCTTCTCTGACTTCTCCACCTGAAGTGCGAAATAGGCTCATCAACTATGCCTCAATTCAGCCCCTGCTTTGGACTCTGGACCAAGGCTAGAGAATTCAGTGGAGAGCTTGGACGCCAGCATCAAAGCCGTGTTCAGAGACAGTTTCGCTCTCAGGTTGGAGACGGAGTAACACAGCCAAAAGCATCTTGTGTATAGGCGATTTGCATCTCATTCTGGGTATTAGTGATGAGGGCGGCTTCATCCCGAATTCGGACCATACTTGAGAGTTATCAGACCTACAAGTAATCTGTCCCAACAGGCCCCTCGTGGAAAGCGAACACGGTTCACCAGAATAAAATCAAACACTGGACTTTCTTTCCACAATTTATTCTGAAAAGACAGCTGCGGTAGTAGTCGGCATGTAACACCACCCTATGACAAGGTCGCCCGAACCGCATGTGCACCCTTCACATATATCCAGAGACTATCCTCGCAGGGTGCTCCAGTGGCCTCTCAACCCGAACCTGGATGATCTATCCATGACCAGGAAGAAGCTTGGGTGAAACTAAGTGAAGGTCCGAACCGAATATGCAATCGACCTAAAGCATCGGATGAAGAAACCCGCGCCTTTGACGATGGTTATGTGACAGACATCGTAACATACCAGATGGGAGATGAGGATGGAATTTGCCTTGACGGGGTTTCCCAAGACTCTCAGCAGCATATATGTGAATATGCTGGCTAGTAACACCCCACTGACCTGTAGCTGTGGCTTGGACTTCAGTCAAATAGCTGCTAAGCCCGGAAGAGTTTCACATGCTTGACCTGACATCAGTGACCAGATCAGGTCGAAGCGATTTTAGTTTAGATTTGTCCATTTCCTCATACTATGCTTAAAAGGTGGAGTGAAGTTAGCATCTAAAATGATTTGGTGCCAAGAACCGGTATGAGGTGAGGATCTCGTATGTTTCCTGTGAAGGAGTTCACTCGGGCAAAATGTTACCCTTATCTATGAAAGCACGCCGTTTTTAGTAAGGTCTATGAGTACAAGAAATGCATCTTCCCTCTGGGAGGCCAGGTAAATCGCAAAAGCAGAGACTTTTTGATGGAGCGATATAAAATCTCCTCCTGAACTCATCCCTTCACGAACTCCTTCTTAGTCTACAAAAGCCCTGTCCTGCTGGCCCATCTGAAAAGCACCGTCCCCTTCTTGTCGAGTTACGAACAGGGTGTAAATTCTAATCAGAAACAACTGCCACACAGATACGGTAAATGACAAACAAACCTAGTGAAATGGCTGATGAAACTGGAAAAATAAAAATATTTTCCATCCTTTGTGAAAGAACCAAGAGAGGAGTTCAACGGGAGACCCATGGTAATTGAAAGGGTATAGAGGAAAAGTTATTGAAGATCACGATGCCAAAAATGCTCTGAACTCGACTGACTACTAAACATTAGTTGATTGCTTCCTTTCATCTCCAGTTGTGTCTTTCTTACTGAACTCTAGACACTCATGCTTTCCTTCATATATTTCTTGTGTTCTTTGTAAAACTACATGACAATGATACCAGGTGTTCCTATAGATATTTTTGATAAAAGTAATGGGTTGGTTGAATACATCTACAAGAATAACTTAATTCCTTTATATGTAGACTAGAATTAAAAATATGCCCCAGATGTAAGTAAAGCTAATGCCCTTACAGGGATAGAGCTAACGCCCAGCAGGCCATAGCAGCTCAAGATTTCAACGCGCATAGCCAAAGAATTCTTTTTCTGGGGCTATTGGTACATGAAGAGGTATTTGAAGGCAGATACTGATCCTTGTACAGCTGGCGTCTAGGGTAGAGGATACTCAGTCTTCCAGACCTAAATGGAGAGAAGAATTTATGAGCTATTGATAAATCTAACGAACTGCCCTCTTCGAGGAAATCAGCGGGGATAATAACAACCTCAGCAAAAGCCCGTCAAGCAAAAAGAGTTACCATGGAGTTGAGAACTTGATTGGAAATGCCACTAGACGAAAAATGACAAACACAGTCATCTCTACGTGTAGAGGATATTTTGGGTTGCGGATGGCACTGTTGCTACGATCGGTGGTCTCTGGTAAAGGATAATTCTTGCATAACGAACCAGCTAAGGCTGAAAAAATTGGTACTGAAAGTAGCAGAGAGGGGACAACACTCCTGACGAAGTTCGAGTTAAGAGAAATGTAACGCGTATCAAAACCGTGTACTTTGAAGTAAGCTACAGATCAACTCCGTGTGAAGGTTGACGGAGCTGTGAGGAGAATATATCGTCCGCACAGACGATGCAGCAATCAAGAAACAAGAATTGTCAAAGTTCGTCGGGTAACTGCGTAAGTTGGGCTATGTAAGGATGACTGACAAAGTGATCAGTGGCATGCGCGACACAAGACATACAGGTAATTAACGTAAGAATTTCTTCATGTAAAAGAATTTGAGTACTTAGTTCTGAAAGTGCTTGATAGACTTAGAAAGGATGCTAAGGCCGAAATGAAAGTCTTTGGACATAGCTTGGGAGGGACCTTTCCTTTTTTCCCGAGGGCAAAGTTGACTCGGGAGGTTAACTCTAGCGACTTGGAAAAAAATTCGTACTTCTAAGGTATATTCGAGGGCATATGGAATTGTCTAAAGGTCAAATATCACACATGACGGGCAATGGGGATCTAACTCCAACTAACTGCCAGAACTTCGACGCTGCTGCCAATTAGTAGGAGCTAAATACTAGGGACCCCGAGGGCTAACTATATTCAGTACTGACGTGCTTCCTGAACAAGTTTTTTAAACGACACTAATCTGAAATACGCTGTAAGCGTACAGCAATGAGTTTTTGTCCCGAATCCGATAAGAACGTGATCCCAACTTGTTAGACTATAAACCAATGTGCAATGCAAAAGTAAGGCAAGGAGCTGGTAGGCCCACAAACCTTCCACAGGCCATCACTATGTCATCAAAGTGCGTAGCACCATCAGCGTTTCCTTGTCGTAGTTGGGTCTCGATCTCTCTCACCCCTTCAATGTAGCCCCTGTGTGACACAAGGAGTAGTCCCGAGAATAAGTCAAGGAACTATTACTGACTCTAATTCGGTCCTTATTTGAACTATGTATCCAAAAAGTTGACCTCGTTCATCAGATGCCTGCTGGAGCCCCCTTAATCAAGACAGCGGCCTAACCTTGGCTTCAATGCTCCTTCCACATCAGAAATCAGGCTAGCAGCTACTGACTGGGAGAGCGGAAGTTATACCATGAACCAAGTGTATTCGAACCGCCCACCGGAATCAAGTAGGGCTTCCTGCCTTCTGCTCTAAGCCTCTTGAGCAGCATGTCACCAAGAGCCTGCAGCAAGATTCAGATTAGCTTCAGAAGCTTCAGAATCTCTGGAACCGGCCGGGTAGCAAATTCAATGGTTAAGAATCACCGACCATGAATCATGACATCGAGTTTACAGGCCAAGCTGGGTATGGAGAACTTATCTACGTATAAGATTCTAAGGTAAATTAGCTTCTAAGTTTCTCCGGGAGCACTTTGATCTTAAAAAGTAGAAACGCAGAAATATCAAACAGAAATTAGGATGTCAATCAGAGTTTTCCTTCAGCTAGAAAAATCGCAAAAGATGCACTGTTATGAGAACAGATAATGAATACCTTACTGCCGTACTGGACATACTCCTCCTTGGTCACAAGATCAATATGAGCACCCACTAAACGCTCCACAAGCAGATTGCCTGCTAGGCCTGGATCTTCATCTACTACAGTCTGCAGAATAAACTAGCTCTTAGATCCTCTCCATTATTTTGTCTGCCATAGCAAATTGTAAATGTTCTTGGAAGAGCGAGCCAAAGAAGGATACATTTTAAACAAAAGAAAGCAAAACAGTAAACAAAATGCGTACTAACTAGTAGCAAAGAGGCAAAGATCTATAACCAAATTGATTCTGAGAGTATTCAAGTCAGTGACGCCTAGGTCAACTAGATTAACAGGAGCTTACAACCTAGAGAAAATGGAATAACTGTCAGTCCCTCAAGGTATAATCTTTTACTACTTATATGAAGAGCTGGATGCATATATCTTAGTGACAGCAAAAAAATCCACAAGTAAGCGTGGAAGTACAGCACTTACTGCATGAGGACATGAAGTGTTCCAATGACTGACAGATACCTCATGACATACAACGATCTATCTCTGATGTGTCATTATTAACAGTGGAAATGTAGAGTGGATGTCACTCATGACACCATGGAGAAGTGGCAGATACAAAAGTTTAGGAAAAAAGAGCTGCAGTTATGAGATGAGCTGGACACATGCCAACCAAGAGTAGAGTTACAGAGTACCATATCTAGAGAAAAGGTGTACATCTACGAGAATATACACTGCAACTCATGACATCCGTGAGGGGAGCTTGTTTGAAGAGAACGAAACACCGCCCTCATCTATCGAGCGCATCGAAAGAGCTGAAGGCACAAACCAAACCAAACGACTTGCAGTTGGAGAAAAAATACTGGTAGGTTCTAACCAAAAGGGACGCTGGAGCAACAGGGATAAACGGCGAAGTCTACATTATTACAAAACATCAAGAGAAGAACACTCACCCGGCTCGTACGCAGAATGAGGTAAGAGTCGAGGCCACAATAACGAGCAGCCACAGCTGTTGCCCTGCAATGATTACTCTGTACTCCCCCAATTGTGATCACACAATCAGCACCCTTTGCCTTAGCATCTGACATGAGAAACTCCAGCTTGCGGACTTTGTTTCCACTCAGCTGCATTCCGGTCAAGTCATCTCTCTGCACTTCAACGATCAACTTTTGTGTCAGTCCATGCCAGTTCAGAGCAGGAGTTACGAAGTAACCAGAAGCTCTTACGGAATGAGTCCAAATGTAAGAACAAAAAATGAATTTCGACAAAATTCAGCACTACAGTTCTCACCTTGACCCATAATTCAGTTCCGGGTGCCAATCCCGGAAGATCCCAACGATGAATTGGAGTTGGGAACTGCACAGACAAACAGACTGCAAACGATCAGCACCACAGTAGTCAAGGTATCCTCTGGCGTACTGCGACGTATCAAATTTCGCGAGGAGTGGCTTGAAAAGCGTGTTCACTCTCTGAGCAGATCAAGAGTCTGAAAACTGGACTGGCCGTGGACACTCACAAGGCCGAGGCTGAAGAACGACGGCGGAATGGGATGAAGGTGGGCCGCCCAGGAAGGAGGTGAATACGATTCTTCTTTAAACATAGGCGGGCGCTTTCCATCGTGTTCAACTTCCCCACCAGTTTTCGTCGACAATTCCATGGAGGAAGTCGCTGCCCTGACTGTCAGCCTCCTCACCGCCCGTTCTACCAAACTTACTGGATTTCGAGGTGACTTGTTTGGACTCGGACAAGATTTCAACCCCGACTCGGCCTCGATTTCCCTTCCGAGTTTTTTGAAAACTTGTCTCGAAAATTCGCTGGATCCAGCTGAAATGTGAGGGGGAGGTCGATTGGAACCGGGTGTCTTATAGAAGAGATTGTGGGTCCGGGGGAATGAAAGTGATCTCGGCGGGCCGGCAACTATCGACACGAGAGGATGGAACGACGATGGACTGACTGCCATCGCGCATCGACCTTTCTCTTTCTCTGCTGCACTCGATTTGGTGCGCGGTGCTGCATTTCTTCACCTGTCCTGAAGCGCTTTACTCTCCTGGTTCCTCAAAGTCTATGTTAGTGAAAAAAGTCAAAGATATCACAAATATCCGTTGACAAAGTAGGAGGATAACAAAGATTAACACATTGACCCGTTTATGAAGGTTGGATTGTGCAACGCGGAACAACGTGGTCGGAAACACACGGGTATTCGAGTACATTGCTAGAATCATAGTAGTACGGCAGGTCAATTGTTGAAGTGTCTGCTTTGAGAAAAATATTCATGAAATGAATTTCATATTTAAAGGTAAGATTCTAGAAGTTTAGTAGCCATAAATTATTTAACAAAAAAAACTATCTACTACCTTTACAAAAACCTCTTTATGATATAAAGATAAGTTGAGATTTAGAGTCAACTTGTAGTTTAAGAATGCGCAATTGTACTGAAAATTTCAGTCACAATGTAATTACACACGAAGTTGTGAGAGTTTTGAGTTCTAGGTTTGAATATTTAGTAATTTCACATCTCAATATTGTGGAGTTTAAGTATACTCAATTGACCTCAAAAATTCAGTTACAATGGAGTTGTGAGATTTTTGAGTTCTAAATTTCTACATTTAGCAATTTCACATCTCAAGCTTTTTGAGCTGTAGTATCAAGTGAAGCTTAGATTTGGAGACAACATAGAGAGTAAAGACGCCAACTTGTTTTAAGAATTGTAATTACAACCAATTTCTTGAGCACAAGTTGTGAGTATTTCGAGATGTGATTATACTTTATTGAAGCCGTTGAATCTCTAGTATGTTGTGAATTTGACTAAATGATGACTTCTCAAGATAAAATCTTGAATCTAATGCATATGATCTTACATGAATTGAAAGAGCTTCAAAATATAAACTTCTGAATTATTCCTTGCACATACCCCAATACTAAAGTTAAAGTTCACGCTAGAGATTTTGAAGAAAGTATCTAAATATACTTCTGATTTGATCTTTGATAATTTCAAATCTTTTACTGATGTTCAAGAAGAGACATCATTACTAGCGAATATTAGTTGGTGATTGAAAGTGAATGCTCATTTTGCAGTACTTGCATATTAGCACAATGTTTACTAAAAATTTCAAAAATTACCTAGATTAAATTTTGTTGTCAATTTTGATTAGTTCAATACTTTTATAAAAAATATCATATTTGATAAAATGATATTTGATGTTGATGTGTTTCACTCTACTCTTTAATCAATAATGCATTTTCATTATTACCATAAAGATCGATAACATAAACATCATGTTTCAATCTCTCATGTACTACTTGTTCGCAAAGTCATGCCTAGGGTTATGTATTATATTCAGCTTTGAAATTTGGCCAGTTTAATATTGTATCATACACAATTGAATTTGTACAGTGATCTCACGAATGAACTGCTACATTGCCCAATTTAATCCTTTGATCTCTACACGTCTATAACCTCACAAGCATCACTACGGCAGTGAAAGAACAAGCTTGACCAAAGGAACAAGCTCAAGATTTGTGCAGAAAGCATTGTGAAAGTTGGCGCGGTCAAAATCCACACACTGTTAGTGTGAATTAATCTGAATTAGTTGTTTTTTTTCTATAATTGACAATGAAAATGCATCAACAAGATTGCAAATTCTAGCAATTGCGATTTCGTGGAGGTCAAAGTTGCAGATTCTACATAGAGCACTGTGAAATATAGCGCGGGTGAAATCTACACTTTATCATGTGAATTGATATAAAGTAGTTGGATCTCGATTGCAATTTGGTGTTTGTTTTTTATTTATTAAAAATAAATGATTGATATATATTTTATATCATACCTTGTGACAGGCAAATTCTGAATTCAATGTTGTCTCTGTACTATCCCTGATTTCATGAATCAAAGCCAATAAACACAAGTATGAAAAATATGTACTCGTTGTGAACCATTGTCTCTTTGGATGAGATTGAGGCATGAAGTGACTATTGCCTGATGCGTTCTGATTAAATCCAGAAGATCATGTATATATTCTTTACCCTTTCCAAGCATTTGACAGAAAGTATTTCATGCTATAATTTGGTTACTTTTGCTAGGAAGGGCATTGAAAGATCAAAGTCTGAGCGATTTAGAACTGTTCAGAGAAAAATTTTGTTAAAAAAAACTTGTAAAATTGCACTCGTAGTTTAGGAATGAGTTTGCAAAACTTGACGATCTAGACTGTGATTTGTATAGGTTTCAATTGCATTTTTTGATTTCAATTAAAAATTTGAAATTTCTGATTTTTGATTGCAATTTTAGATTGCAGATCAGATCATTCGTCATCTATCATGTCTAACAAATCAATGTTTACACTTGACGTCTGATCTCGGCACCCTATATGTAGTCTATTTGTATCCAACAAGTTTGCTATAGGCAATGAAAAGATCTTGAAGGTCAGATGTCTATAGTGTAATTCATCCATCACGGCCGAGATCAATCTTTTGGAAACACATGTGATTACATGCACAAAACTTCCTGAATCTATAATTGGGTTGATGGACGTTGTGTTGTAAATGCAAGTCAATGATGTCAGGATTCGGCTCAAGTCTTCATCATCGTCAATAGTTAGCGGTTTGTCAAAGAAGAAAGCCAAGTTGAATCAATCGTCAGTGGATGCGGAAGATGAGAAGGTGGTGCAACTGATATCGTCCCACATATCAACAAATCTTTGTTGAGCCCATCCATGGTATTTTCTTGATTCTCTTTCAGTAGATGATCATGATAATCTGGCCAGTATGTTTAGAAATGCAATGCATCACACGTCTACTTCATTCACTTTCTTTGAACATGCCTTATGGAAAAAATTCTTCAAGTTACTTCGACATGTTTGGACTCCTATTACTTCTGAAAGTATATGCACCATTCTATTGATGTCTTTATATAATCTTTGTCTTTGGGTGTGTTTTTTATTAATCAAGATCCATATTGTGCTCAAACTACAATCAACTACAATATGTTACAATGTCTCGGTTCTTTGTCGACAAGAGATATCTCATAGAGACGAGAAGAAGTAATCTTTCCTCAAAAAATTTTCATCTTTCACGATTCTAGTTGATGATGTATCTAAGCCAGAGGTAGAATCAACCAAACAAATCACGGAATACGAGGTTTGATTGGAGGAGATTGCCAAAGATGAAGGTAAAAGTGTTGCATTCCTAGACTCAGAAATGAGTTTCCTAAAAGATTTGATTTGAAACTATTTGGGGAAGATTATGATGCAAACGATGTCGAGGCAGAAGCAATGAGGTTTGTGGATTTGTGAAATTTGACAAGAACTACTATAAAATTCCAAATCGTTGAGAATCATTACTCTTGAATCTTCAATTGCTCTTAAATGTGTCTTCGATGAGTAAGTAGTCCGTTTGATTGAACATTCTAACACAACTTCTACTTTTTGTAAAATCGGCTTCGGTGTGACTAGCACAATTTGAGCCCAAACTTAACAAAAGCTAAGTTTGCAATTGCATTTGATAAACTCGCAGAGTGATCATTGTCGAGTAATATTGATTTAATTTAGAAACTAAAGCAAAGGTTAAATATTGGCAGAGAGAAACAATTCCGGGCTCTTCTTTCTGCTCTGATTTTGTTCATATAATATGTTATTAAAATGTCTGATGTTGGAGTCTTTTCTTGTTGGTGGATGGTTTGTTTATTTGCGCAGGATAAACACGATCTGTTGTCGAGATTTATGAGTAGTAAAGATCAGAATGGAGAACCGTTGTTTGATAAGGTGTTACAAGATGCTATCTTGAACTTTCTTTTTGTCGGAAGTAAAACAACTGCTATTACTTTAGCTTGGTTCATGTACTTGCTTTACTCCAACCCCGAGGTTGTCCAAAAGTGCGACAAGTAGTTGATTTCAATTTTTGGCGTAAGGGAGGAAGATGCCATTGGTAGTAAAAACTCGTTATTTTTTGAACATTGCAACTTCTCTTACTTTCAATGCTCTTAGAAAACTCCATTAGATTCACAATGCTTTAAGCAAAACTTAACAACTGTATCCATCTATTTACTGTCTATTACGACTGTATCCATTTATTTACATTCAATGTACTGAAATTGTTAAGAATATCCACGAAGAATTTCATGGACAAATTGGTGTTAGACTCAAAATCAACACTATAATGACATATCTCACTGGTATACTTTTAGCTATTGACAGTCTAACATAGTAAAGTATTCTTGATCATTTTGATAACTGACGTAAAATTCATTCATAGTTTTTGGAAATTTCAATTCAATTTAATACAGTAAAATACAGATGGACTTTTGAAGCCCTCTAGTTAGATATGTACAGATCACTAGTCATGCCTCTTGAGCTGCAATCAAATCAAGTTGATGGTATACTCTAACATATCCTCTCCACCAACAGCTTCTCCGGCCTCTCGTGCAACCTTTATGTTCGTCTGAAACCTTTTCCTTGTGCTTTCCTTGCAGCACTCAAGCCGTTAACCTTATGTATGCAGAATTAGAATTTTAGAATTTTTGCTTCTCTCTTTGAAGGCAAATGACCTCTATTCATTTGTAAATTCACATCTTTGTTGTCATAATCTATGTTAATAATTCCTACCTTGCTAGTCCAAAGTCAACAAGTTCATAACCCTATGCTTGTGGAGATATTTTCCACCAACACATGTTCATAATTTTCATGTTGTCATTGTTTCTAGCATAAATTCTCATCCGTTCAAGTTGAGTATTTCCATCTTGTTTAATTTGTCATGTAGTTACGAGTCGGCTCACGAAGTTTAGACACTTACTATATTTAGCCGTGAAGTTAGGGTTCCGGTCACGAGGGGTATACAGTCGGGGACGGCTCGAAGAACGTCAGTTCTTCGAGTCGAGCCTGGAAGCGTCGGGAGCCTAGAGCGACTTTTCCTTTTGCGTCGACCTGGATTCTCCGAGTGTGGAGTGGGTTGGGCTTGACTCATGTTTGTGACGGTGACGGTTTGTTGCCAGTAGGGTAATTGACCGACGGGAATTCCAGTGGGGAATCTTCCGGTTATTTCACTCGAAGAACGCTCGACGTTTTTGTGTGTAACCGTTTTATGTTCCGTTCTGCCTCTTTGTGTTTTCGTCGGGTGTTTCTCTCTTTTGTGGTTTGTTTATACCTTTGGGCAATTTCTGTATTTGAGAGTCTGAGGAAATCAGGGTTTTAAATCGAGAAATCTGTGCAGAAAGATTCTCAGATTTGATGTTCGGAAGTAGGGATTTTGAAGATTGCGTCGGAG